TGAGGAGAAGGAAGCAAGGAATTTTGAGGATCTCCATAGAATCACTTTCTGAGTTGATTTATGAATGTTAGTCCGTCTGTCCATGTATTCTTGTGAACAAAATTCAGGTCGCATTTATTATCCGATTGAGATGAAATTTTCCAAACAACATTTGTTTGGCCCAAGGACGAACCCCTTTGAAATAGGAGATAATCGGTAAAATTTTAGATATAGCTCCCATATATATCTTCGTCCGATTTGCCTTTTATTGTGCACCAAACGTGTAATATCAGCCCGAATACTATGGAATTTTGCACATACAACCAAATTAGGCCTGAAAATACGTATACCAAATTTGATCGAAATCGGTTCAGATTTGGATATAGCTCTCATATATAACTTCGTCCGATTTACCTTTTATTGTACATCAAACATCTACTATTTGCCCAAATGGAATAGAATTTGGCACTTACGACCGAATTGAGTCTAGAAGCTAGTATGTCAAATTTGGTAAAGATCGGTTCAGATATAGCTATAGCTCCCATATATATTGTTCATCCGATTTGTTACATTTGTTACCCACAGCCGTAATATGCACTCCGTAACAACGATATTCAGGTAAATATATCAAATACAGCTTAGAAATATCTTTGCCAAATTTTATCGAGATCGGCTCAGATTTGGATATAGCTCCCATATATATCTTTATCTGATTTCAAATTAATTTTGCGCCAAATGGGCAATACAAGTCCGAATTTAAAAGATACAAATGCTTCGGCATATTTAGTTATTTGAACTTTAAATAATAATTATAATCATAGCGTGTATGATTGAATTCTCCCATAAAAACTTTTAATTGTTATGTGGAGCTCTACTAAATTAGCAAAATGGTGTAGGGTATCATAAAGTCGGCCCGCCCGACTTTAGGACTTTCTTTACTGGTTTTTTATTAAACTTAGATCCACTATACCTATTACGACTCTAAGTACGAAATTCGAAACAACTCCGCTGAAAAATTTCCCTTTACTAAAAGCGCTTAGAAAGAACTTCTTGTGTCGACTTTCAGACAATTCCATAGTAAATGTCGACTACAATCATTAAAATACCGAATATCGGGGGTATCGATATATGGGGGATTGTGCATACATCAAAACATCTATAGAATCCGATGCTTTTGGATTGATTCGGTAGTGTGGTGCATTCCTCGTAATTAAACCTTGTCAATAATGAAATTATTCAATTGAGTTTCCATAAAGAAGTCCCTATAACAATACTATACATTGGAGCAGACATCGATTCAAAGGCTATTGTTTTCTGGGAAATATAATAACGAATTGTAAAAATCATCACATTATTTCTTTGTGTATTTCCTTAACAAAAGAGAGGATATGAATTCACAAACAAATATATCGACTACTATCTGAACTATAAAAAGAACTCAAAACTTCGGTCAACTACCTCAGTTAACTTCTCGAGAGAAAAGATGCATCTCATAACTTCAGTAGTACTCCTTGCATTGGCGCTATATTTATCATCATACACAGTTAACGCTCAAAATTGTGGCACACTTTGTGAGGAATCTGGTGGACCGGTTTGTGGTAGCTCTTATTTCATGGGACGAACAGTTACGTGTACATTTGCCAACGAGTGCAGATTAAGAAAATATAGCTGTAGTGTCAGGAGACGTAAGTAATTTTGGAAAAGTAAAATAACATTTTGTGAGACGTATGCCTTTAATTTAGCTTGGACACCCGTACCTGGGCCCTGTGCTGTAAACTGGGAACAATGTCTGGAACGCGGTGCCAATTAGGTGGAGATTGAAATTACAAAAATATGTGAAAAATATTCAATGCAAATAAACGATGATCAGCATAATTAAAAAAAATTTTTACCTAAAATGATTGTATGGTCCATATAAGTCAATGTTCATATATCAGGCAAATGTGCGCTTCAAATGGTCCATCCTCTTAGTCCAATTTTATCATATTCTTTCCAATATTTCTGTTCCAATGCCATAATTAAAGTAAACTAGACATGGGTTTTTACATAGCCCAACAAAAATATGTGAAATCGTGCGACCAATTGATCGGTCCCGAACGTAAAATAACATTTTCTCCGAACTCGAACTTATTGAGGTATTTTGTTACGGGTGATGTGTGCCATGTGACGCCGTGTCATGCATTTTGGGTAAAATAAAGTTGGATATCATCCCGCGATAGCTTGGTGACGCTAAAAGTTACTTTACGATTCGTAGCATTTTTGAAGATGTACGGTCCAATGATGCCACCAGCAGCAAACAGTGACTTTTTGGGATGCATTGGTAGTTTTTGTAATGTTTTTGCCTGATCTTCACTCCAAAATCGACAATTCTCGTTATTTACGTAGCTGAGCCAAACATTAGAGTGAGTAGTCGCTTCGAGTGGACCGATATTGTCCATTTTTGGACCTGACCGAGAACTGAAGCAAATATTAAAATTTGCAAAGTTGGAGCAAAATCTGATTATCCTTTTCTTTCAATGCAGTAAAATATTTTTTGACATTTTGTGGTAGAGGTACCAGAAGAAGTGGACCGATTTTGCCCATCTACGAATTCGATATAAGTTTCATAATAATACTACGATGTACCAAGTTTGGACCAAATCGGACACTGCCTAGGCACCAGCCAGAAAACATAAAAAATGAAAATGCTGATTTTGCCCTTAGAATAATCCTCAGTGGCAAGGCTCATTTCTAATTGATGGCTTCGTCAATAGCCAGAGTTGTCGCATTTGTCGTGAGGAAAATTCTCGAAAACTAATTGCATCCTCAACGTGTCACTGTGTGGTGTAATTTTTTTGCTGGAGAAATCATTTCACCTTTTCTTATGAAAATGAAGCAGGTCAAGCAGGTGTTCGGTATCGTGAAATGATAACCAGTTTTTTCTTGGCCAGAATTGAAAAAATGAATGTGGAGAGTATATGCTTTTAACAAAACGACGTTACATGCCACACAGACAGAGAAATAAAAAACTTTAAATTTTTTCCGTTGGGTTTTTTTTAAGTTTATGGTTTACGCGGTTAGCCGATGAGGACTCAAACCTTAAAAGAGTAAATTGAAATACCGCAGCATTTGTGGAAAACGGTTATTGAACATTTCAGTAAAAGATTACGTGTGTACCAGCAAAGGCCATCTGCACGATATCTTGTTCCATACATACACTCATTATACCCTCAGCCATATGGCTACAGAGGGTATATATCATTTGATACGGCCAAAACGTGCCTCATCGAAAAAGCGGAGTCGATCTAATGATGTCCGTCCGTCCGTCCGTTCGTCTGTCTCTAACGATACTCACGAAGGGAGTATCCGATTTGATCCAAACTTGGTACATCGTAATATTATTATCAAACCTAGATCGATCTACGAAGGGCAATATCCACTTCTTCTAGTACCTCCCACACAAAATGTCAATATTTTCAAAGGAAATAATTTACTGTACAGAAAGTGAAGGGATTATCAGATAATAGCCGATGGTCGCTCTACGCTCGTATTAATCGACCATGGCACCAGAATAAATGCCGAATATTATCGCGAATATATTCTGGAGGGTGTATTAAAGCCTTGGGCACGCAAACATTGTAGCTACTTTTAGGACATTCCAACAGGACTCAGCACCATAGCGATCAGCATGCGCCACCCAAGAATGGTTACAAAATCAGGTTCCCCGCTTCATTTCCAAAATGCACGCAAACATTCTGGTCACAGACCTTGGACGTTCCAAAAGGGCTCAGCACGCGCCGAAGAATGGTTACAAAATGAGGTTCCTAGCTTCATTTCCAGCGCACAATGGCCACCAAAATCTCCGGATACCAATCCGTTGGACTATTGTGTCTGTAGTATTTTAGAAAACAAAGTGGGAACTAAAAAATAATAAAATATTGATCGTCTCAAGCAAGCGTTTCGCCGAAAATGGCAAAAATACCGCAGAGCAACATTCGGGCAACGTATAACGGTTTCATTGACCATAATTCGGGTCCAAAGTGACCAATTCGAACAAATCTAAACTTTTTATAAAATTTGATGTTTTTTCCGACTTTTATTAGCTTTCATTCAATTGTTGATGTTGAATACCCTCCACCATTTACAACGAATTTGGAAATTTTTAAAAAATCAAAACCGTTAAAAATTCTTTTAAAATTTTAAAAATACCGAATCTAGCCGTTATATTTGTCATAAGCCATTACCATATTCAAATTCGAAACTTGAAATAAACGGTGAATAATGTAGCTAAAATCATGAAAATACCGTATATGGAGAGGTACCGTTATATCGTAGCTATACGAAGACCTGGACCTGCATAGACAATTTTCTGTCGCAGGCTGAAGCATCCATTACGAACTTCAAAAACGACATCTCAAACAATTTCGGTAAGTATTGTACCTAAAATACCGTCAAAATACCGAATATAGGGAGGTACTGATATATGGGGCTATACGAAGACCTAGACCTGCATAGACAATTTTCTGTCTGTTTTTTTCTGTTTATCTCAATTTGTTCGAAAGATAGCGTGATTGCAACGGACAGACGGACAGACAGACAGATGGACATGGCTACATCGACTTAGAATTTTACGCTGATCAAGAATACATACTTTATTAGGCCTGACATGAGAATTTTGAGGAGTTACAAACGGAATGACAATGTTAATATACCCCTCATAGTGGAGGGTATAAAAATTCCACATTTTCCAAAAATTTACACATATCTCACATAAAGTAAAGGAAGTAGTCGATTTAGTCCAAATCTGGCACGTTGCAATATTTTTATCAATAAATGTTGACGATTTCAATAAAGCTTTGGGATTTCTTTAAATATCTGTGTTTTATTTAAAATTTCAAAGTTGCGGTCTTTGTGGGAGCTGATTTGGTAGAAGCTAACCGAAACCTTTATGGTTTCATGGCATTTATCCGGTAATGTCACAATGAAACTATGTCAATAATGAAATTGTTTAATTGATTTTCCATAAAGAAATATCTGTAACAATACTGGTATATACATTGGAGCAAATATGGATTCAAAAGTTATTGTTCTATGGAAAAAATAACCCTTTGTGTATTTCCATAAGAAGACAGCGGATGTGACTTCACTATTGTTTTGATCAAACAAAAAAATATCTGCTCGTGTGAACTATAAAAAGAACCCAAAACATCTGACATCTACCTCAGTTAACTTCTCGAGAGAAAAGATGCATCTCATAAATTCTGTTGTTCTCCTTGCATTGGCGCTGTGTTTATCACCATACACGGTTACCGCTCAAAATTGCGAATTCCTTTGCGAGGAATCTGGTGGACCGGTCTGTAGTACCGCCCGTATACAGGGTAGAACAGTTACATGTACATTTGCCAACGAGTGCAGATCAAGAAAGCATAGCTGCAATACCAGAAGAAGTAAGTAATTTCGGACAAGTATAATAATATTTTGTGATACATATGCCTTTAATTAGATTGGATACCCGTACCTGGACGCTGTGCTCAAAATTGGGAGAATTGTCCGAGACGCGGTGCCAATTAGCTGGAGATTGAAAAATTTTAAATATGTGAAAAATGTACCATGTAAATAAAGAAAGAAACCAGAATTTCAACCGAACGAAGCAATTATAATTTAAAACTTTGTTAAGTAATTCAACTCAAAAGAGCTAAAGCGATTGGCCGAAAGTGGTGGACTGCTGAATTTGGATTTCTCCGATGAGCAAAAAACATTATTTGTCCAGCAGTTTGTAAACAAAAAAAATTAACGTGTTTACTTGCCAAAGAGGTCAGCTCAAAATGTGCACCTTCAGTTGGCCACCAGAACTCAAGCGCTGTACATGGTGATGATGTGGGCCGCCATAACAGCCGATGGTCGCTCTCTGCTCGTATTAATTGATATTATCGCGAAAATATTCTGGATTGTGTATTAAAGCCTTGGGCACGCAAACATTTTGGCCGCAGACCTTGGACATTCCAACAGGACTCAGCACCATCGCATTCAGCACGCGACACCCAAGAATGCTTAGTTGAGGTTGAGGTTCCTCGCTGCATTTCCAGCGCACAATGGTCACCAAAATCTCTGGATACCAATCCGTTGGACTATTGTGTCGGATGTATTTTGAAAAGCATGATAGGTACTAAAAAATATCAAAGTGTCGATTACCTCAAGCAAGCGCTTCGACGGGAATGGACCAAAATACCAGAGAGCAACATTCGGGCAGCGTGGGACGGCTTCATTTGCCGTTTGAAGACCATAGTTCGTGCCAAAGGTGACCAATTCGAACAAATGTAAACTTATTCTAAAATTTGATGTTATTTCCGACATTCATCTGAAGAATTTCAAATTAAGTACAATTTAGTAATTTTCGTATAATTGTAGTTCATATTTCCAAAACCACATCAGATACCAAGAGAGATACCTCAATATCAAATTCTGGGATTCCAAGTCTATCCCTTCACCAAAGACCCAATGTTTTACCACTTATTACTTTTAGTACAATTATGGTACACATTTTCCAAAAAAAGGTTCCATATGTCCAGGCTACAATGTACAGCGACCCTAATACCAAATTTAAGATTTCAAGTACTATTTGTATATTTAGCACTTTTCACATGCACATGAACAGGGTTGCCCATATTCGACGGACTTTTGGGCCCTTTGGGCCCATTCCAATCGACGAGGCTTGTCCGCAGGCAACATTCTTTGCGTCAATTGAATTTTGTACGGGAACAAATGCAAATCAATGCGAATAATCCGTTGTAAAGTGGACCGAGCCATGCCCAACTGCTGAGAACGGCGTTTTTGGGATGTTCTTGGGGACCTCTCAACACTGGCTCGTACGGCCTTACCAGTCGAAAATTTTTCGTATAAACGCTTAATGGTGGTCTTAGAAGGCGCACTTCTCACATTTTTTAATGTTTTAAAAGCACGTTGAGTTTTCACAATTGACTATTTCAGAGCGCTCGCGTGGCGTGTATTGGTTCATGGACTGACGCTTCAAACGCGGTATGTCATTAAGCGATGTGACATCTCTGTCAAAAGTTATGGCGTTGCCAGATGGGTCCGTCGAATATGGACAACCCTGCATAACGGTACTAGACACAAAACATTTATTCACATTTAAATGCTAGAATGCTCTAACGATAGCCACTTGTGGTTTTCCAGCTAAATATATATTTCTAAAACCACCTCTTTCTTTCGAACCTACTACCAACAGGAACCCCAATACAAAATGCCAACATTTCAGCTTCATCTGTTCTCTTAACATTTTTCCATAATGCTGAAAAATGTATGTAGATGACGAAAAACGCTGATTTCAGATGCATATATCTGCATTTATGGTTTCTACGCGTGTTCTAACATGTAACTTAAAACTTTATAATACGGTGAATGTACCTTTATATGGGTGGTACGTCAAAAAATGGAATTGTTTTGACAATTGTTTGCCAGAAGGTATATACTGTACCTAAAACCAAAAATGCATAAAAATCTGCTGAAACAATCTCTGAAATTTGGGGGTACGGTTGTGGGGGGGGGCTATATCAAAAACGTGTTCTATGAAGACAAATGAGCACAATAATTTGTTACCCTATCCCAAATATGAATGTTAAATTCCAGCAAAATCGATGGTAAAAGCCCTTCTAAAAATTAAAATGGGGAATGGGGTTCTATGGAGTCTATATCAAATTGTGGACCCATATTTACCATATTTTTCAAGGACGTGACGTACATGATACGCATTAAGAAAACCAGGAATCTAATTAGAGTCCATTTAATACAAATTAAATTAAAATTAATAAATTTCTTTTAATCGGGGGTGTTGTTTTTATATGGGGGCTATGCCTAAATGTGGACCAATTTTCCAATTTCTTGGTAATAATACTTTTTATGAAGCTTCTCATATATATGGAACCACTGTGCTAAATATTACTATTTTCATAGGGTGCATAGGGTGGTGTCGGCTATTAGTAATTAAGTTAAAAAATGTATCAAATTCAGAACATCAGCGGCCACTAATTCTTCCACACTCAACAGACTCTCTAGCGCAAGATCCAGGTGTAGATCTCCATGCTAAAAATTAAAAAGGAGAAAGGAGATAATACAAAATTGTTATATCTCACCGTCAAATCGTTCTCTTTGACTTACGTTCTTGAGTGGCACAGCGACGTCTCACCAATCTACAGAGATTCCTAAAGGTGCATCTTATTTCTCGTCGACCACGACGTAAAATACCACAAACAGGGCCACCCCTCTCACTACAGGCACAGTTTTGGGCCTCAGCAGTGTAGGGGTAGAGGGAGAGAGCCAATACCAAAATAACTATAAAGGTTGTGGAACGCATATTTCAACACGATTGGAAGCTTGGCAGATTACTGATGTGAAAATTGGGCCGTTTGGGCTTCTTATATATTCGTATGAAGTAAAATTAATTCTTTGTTGTAATAATTAAATAATTACTTGTAGCAAACATGTGACTACCAAAAAAAAGAATAAATACGTTTTGTTTTAATTTCAACAAAATGTCAATTTGTAAGAAGTATTTTTATTTTAAATTTCCGGAATAATTTGAATTTTAAATATTAAAGAATGAATAAAAATAATCGATCAAGTTCTTTGTACTGCATTTATTTGATCAAGTGTTTTATAATCTCGAACAAATAACCACTATATACTGTGTTGGGTGTTTATTTAGATATTGAAAGACTAAGAAGATTAGTGCTGAACAACTTCACACAACAATGTATGTGGGTTGCAAAATTCCCTTTTGAGATGAAACATCTTACTGAGGTATTCATTGTAACTCACTTAAACGAATGGGGGTTTGTTTCATTCTTAAATGGTAATAAAAAAATGAGATTTTTTAACATTCAAATATTCTACAAAAATGTTGCTCAGAAGATTGTAGATAGGATTATCAAAGACAAAAAATCGATAATTTCATAATTTGCTTGTATCTCCTTGTACTTATAATTTGTCCTATTGTATTTACAATTCTATTTATAACTTAAAATTATAATTTGTAATTAAAAATTAAATAATTCAAATTTCAAATTAATTGTATCGAATTACTAAGGAAATTCTCGAATTTAAATTGAAACGTTACGAATCGCAAATGAAGAAAACACAAACAAAAATCACCAAATTACATTTAAAAACAAGTAAGCAAAGGCTATAGTCGCGCGGAGCCGACCATTTGATACCCTACAACACTTCAATATGTTAGAAGCCCCCTTATGTCCAAATCCATTGTTGAAGATTTCGCTTTTGAAATGACCAGGGATATTTCCTCAATATTTACGCCCTCCGACGTGCTGTTAGTTGTTGTGGTCCATTTTACAGCTAAATATAATCCAATGGTCATCCAAAATGCTAGAATTCTTCCCTGTCCTTAACTCTCTTCTCAGGCGTGTCGACTGGCTTTTATGTCTACGATATTTGGCTATATTCGTCAACGAAATTTGTGTTTTTCGGATATCGCCTGTAAGTAATGTTGGCATTTTTTTCGCACAAAAGTAGTGGTCCATTCTACCCACTGTCCTCAACTCTAACTACGAGATTTCGTGTCCTTTGGTTTCTATTTATGACCTTTAGAAGTGCTGCAAAATCAGCAACATTTTTAGTTGTTGGTCCATTTCAACCACTAATATATTGCGAACATTTTTGAAAACAATAGGCCTAGCTCTTCTGAGCCCAACCCTATCCTTGTGAAAACTTTCGTGAGGATCGGACGATATTTCCAATCTTTATATAATAACCTCAACCTGTGTTGTAAGCTGAAAAAATATTACAAAACAGAATTGACCTGTTCGTCTATTTGTGATTTCGCCTTTTATTTAACACAAATGTTATGGTCTATTTCGCGCACTAAATATTACCCGATGACCATCAAAATTGGAAGGCTCTTGCCCAGCCCTATACTCTAGCCCCATGCTAACTTCCACGTCGATTGGTCTATAATGGCGACCTGTAGAGCAACTGAAAAGTCGAGAAATTTTTAAAATCTAAATATTATGCGATCATTTCCAAAAGCAATAGGGTTCTATTCTGGCTCTAGCCCCACCTCCATTTTAAATTTCGTGAAGATCGGACCATAATTGCGACCTATAGAGTGATTACAAATTAACATGGACATACATAGCTAGATCGACTCAGCTCGGCGAGATAGGAAGATCCAAATGTACTTTCCTATGTGGGAAACCAATATTTCGAGGTTACACAACACATAGTGTTGTAGGGTATAAAGATTATACCATTTCGTACAGATTTATACCATTTCGTAATGATTCCGGATATTCGAAAATAAAAAACAAATTAAAAAGTATCAATTTTTTGTTGGCTAGCGTTTTGATTGTCTCTTTATTAGGTTAGTTCCGAAGGAGTGGGCCAATATTGTCCGTTTAGTATCTGACCTAAGTCTGATATAAATATTCCAAAGTGTAATATATACCAATAAAAAGCTGCAGTCAATTTTCCAGCATATTTTAAACTTATAATTTTTCAGTATATTATTCTTCAGAATAGACCGATTTCAAATGACCTAACACGGTCCAAGGAGTCCTTGTATCTAAAACCGTTAATTCCATAAGTCACCTTTTTTCTGTATCAAATGATACAGTCATGAGGCTCAAAATAAACAATTAAAAGCCCAAGCAACGAAACCTAGTTTCCGGATACTGGAAAAAATATTCCCAATAGACTTCTTCTTTGGGAGCTACTTGAAAGATAAAAGGCCAAATCCTCTTTTGTTTTTGAATAATGGAAAATGTGCCTCGTACCATCGCTCGTTACCGCGATACTGGTAGCGTAACCCGACGTCATGGAAGTGGACGGAAGAAAACAGGAACATCAGCAGAAATGGTTCGAAAAGTAAAGATGCGACTTGATCCAAACCCTCGTCGCAGTGGTCGAAAAATGGCTCGTGAGCTGAACATATCGCAATATTCCATTCGGCAAATTCCAAAAAGTGCAAGAACTAACACCGCAACAGAAAGAAAATAGACTGAAAAGAGCTAAAGAGTTGCTTCGCTTGGCCATAGTGGTGAACTGGCGAATTTCCGATGAGAAAACTTTCGTTGTCCAGCAGTTTGTAAACAAATAAAATGATCGTGTTTACTTGTCAAGGAGGTCAGCTGAAAATGTGCACCTTCGGTTGGCCACCAGAACTCAAGCATCGGTCATTGTGATGGTGTGGGCCGCCATAACAGCCGATGGTCACTCTCCGCTCGTATTAATCGATCGTGGCAGAATAAATGCCGAATATAATCGCGAAAATATCCTGGAGGCTGTATTAAAGCCTTGGGCACGCAAACATTTTTGCCGCAGACATTAGACTTTCCAATAGGACTCAGCACGCGCCACCCAAGAATGGTTAAAAATGAGTTTCCTCTCTTCATTTCCAGCGCACAATGGTCACCAAATTCTCCGGACACCAATCCGTTGGACTATTGTATCTGGAATATTTTGGAAAACAAGGTTGGCTCTAAGAAGTACCAAAGTGTCGATCACCTCAAGCAAGCGTTTCGCCGGGAATGGGCCAAGATACCGCAGAGCAAAGTTCGGGCAGCATGTGACGGTTTCATTGGCCGTTCGAATGCCATAATTCGTGTCTAAGGAGACCAATTCGAACCAATCTAAACTTATTCTAAAATTTGATGCTATTTCCGACATTTTTTTGCTTTCATTCAATTAAATTTAAAAATATGCAAAAATTATGGCGTTTTACTTTGCTGCAGTTTTTTATCTCACCCTGTAGTTACAATGTTTCGCAACCGGAGCTAGAACCCATTATGACCAAAAAATACCAATTTGTGAATATGGGAGCTATACCAAAACATGGACCTATACATACAATGCTTCGCCAAAGGAGCTAGAACCCATTATGACTTACAAATACCAATTTTCAGACAAATCCGTGAAAAAATGTGGCAAAAATCATCAAATTACCGAATATCGGGATGTACCGTTATATGGGGGCTATACCAAAACATAGATCTATAATTACAATGACTCGCCACACGAACTGGAACACATTATGATCCACAACTACCAATTTTTAGACATATCCGTGAAGAAATGTGTCAAAAATCATCAAAATACCAAATATTGGGAGGTACCGTTATATGGGGACTATACCAAAATGTGGACCTATACATACAATGTTTCGCCACACGAACTAGGATCCATTCCGGCCCACAAATTCCATTTTAAGACAAATCAGTGAAAGAATGTGGTAAAAACCATTAAAATACCGAATATCGGGAGGTACCGTTATATGGGGGCTATACCAAAACGTGGACCCATACATGCAATGTTTCGCCACCGGAGCTGGAATCCATTATGGCCAACAAATACCAATTTTTAGACAAATCCGTGAAAAAATGTGGCAAAAATAATTAAAATACCGAATATCGGGAGGCAACTTTATATGGGGGCTATACCAAAACGTGGACCTATACATGCAATGTTTTGCCACACGCACAGGGACTCATTATGACCTACAAATACCAATTTTCCGACAAATCCGTGAAAAAATGTCGCATAAATCATCAAAATATCAATACCAATATCTGGAGGTACCGCTATATGGGGACTATACCAGAACGTGGACCGATATATGTCATTTTCAATACCAACCATCCTAGACACAATAAAAATTGCTCTGCTAAATTTTGGCGCTCTACGTCAAATAATGTGGGTTGTATCGTGATTTCAACAGACAGACAGACGGACGGACATCGTTAAATCGACTTAGAATTTTATGCTGATTATGAATATATATACTTTATGGGGATATTTAAGGATGTTACAAACGGAATGACAAAGTTAATATACCCTCTGTTCCAAGGTAGAGGGTATAAAAATTTTGACGCTTTGTGAAGGAGATACCAGAGGCGGTGGGTCGATATCTGTCATCTTCACATTAGAACTTGTGTTAAAAGAAATCAATATTTTCATTTCAATTTGAAAAGACGCATACAAAATTTAATTTCGATCGAAATTTTTTCGATATTGTACCCATAATGTATTCCTACTGTAAAGTAAGGTATTAGGAAAAGACTGGTCGAAAATAGATTGTATATTTCGTATGATTAACATTTACACTATGTATAGAACACTCATACGCCATGTGTTCTATAAAATTTGAATTTATGAATAGTTTATTGACAATGATTCGTTTTACGGCTCATTTACGAAAATAGCGGTTCTACACCGGTTCGCTTTGAAACCGGTTTGCTGCCCTGATTTATCATCATAGCTTTCATATTAATTATGTAATATTGAAATGTCATGTAATTCTAATAAATCAATATTGAATTAATAGCTTTTGATGAATTAAGTTATTATTATTAAAGTTTCACAAATTAAAAAAAAAATAACTTCAATATCAACGTTATATTACAATGTCAATTACGTGTTGTATATATTTCACATCAAATAAAATTTAGCGACCTCCGATTCTGCGACATTCAAGCGAGTCACGGGTACAACGTCCAAGTAAGGCACTCCATTCTAAAACATAAGAAAAAAAAATATTTAAATATTACAATTTTGTAATGAGTTTTAGTCACATTTTCTCTTACCTTCTCGTGTGGCACAGCGACGTTTCTGAAGTCTACAGAAATTCCTGAAGGTACATTTTAATTCTTGTCTGCCACGACGTAAACTACCGCAAACTGGACCGCCAGTTTCACGACAAATGGTTGCACAATTTTGAGCCTCGGCAGTGTAGGGGTAGAGGGTGAGAGCCAATACCAAAACAACGACAAATGTGATTAAATGCATTTTCTTTACTTGATTGGAAGGTTATAAGGTTACTGATGTAAAACATGGAGTTTTAGCCGTCTTTTATAGCAATTTTCACAAGGAATCAAAGCTGTTTTAAACACGGAAACGAAATTTAAAATATTTCAAGTAAAATAAATTCATTGTTTTAAATTTTACAATTAATTGGGAATACATACGTTTAAAGACAAAACAAAACAATTTATGAATGACCTTTTTTTAACAGGTGACTTTTCATGAATATAATTAAATATGAACTAAATATAAAGAAGAAAGCTACACCGAGCAATATTTAATAATATTTATTTACATGTTTATTCAAGTGTTGTATTTTAATTTTCCGGGAAATTGAAAGCCCATGGATTTATAACTTGAATGAGTCATTAAACGACATGAGCATTTCCATTGTTGATTCATGTCCTAATTTGTTAAACTTAAGCGTATTTTTAAACCCTTTAATATGTAAAACTAACAACCACATTTACCAACGGAATTACCTGTTATAGATCATTTGAAAATAAATGCTCGCCATTTTAAGGTTCCTATTCATTATTTCATTCTTCGTTAAACGTTAAACGTTTCAACGGCAAATACAAGGCTATGAATGAGATAATTAATATTTTTATGTTATGCTTCAAATTTTTAATTTTTTTAGTTTTTGATCCATTTCAACACCTAAATATTTTGCGACCATCTCCAAAAGAAATAGGCTTCTATTCTGCCCATATCGGGCCATAATTGCGACTTGTAGCGTGATTACAAATTATCATGGACAGACGGAGGGACATACATAGACATATCGACTCAGCTTGGGGAGATAGGATGATCTATATATTCTTTCCTATGTGGGAAACCAATATTTCGAGGTGTTACATAATTTTTGGCTCGATAAACTTATATTACCCCCAACACATAGTGTTGTAGGGTATAAGAAACAAGTATCAGTCGGTTTAGCCGGCAGATGTATACCCTTAGCCAATGTTCGATTATTTAAATATATTTTGGCTTGTGGTAGTAGGTTCCGAAGGAATGGGACAATATTGTCCATTTCGTATCGTATAGTGGACTATACAGGGTGAGATAAAAAAACTGCAACAAAGTCAAATGCCATAATTTTTACATTTTTTTTTTAATTTTTTTTAATGAAATAGCAAAAAATGTCCGAAATAGCAAAAAATGGAATGTCCAAGGTCTGCGACCAAAATGTTTGCGTGCTCAAGGCTTTAATACACCCTCCAAATTTTTTCGTGTTATTATTCGGCGTTTATTCTGATGCCACGATCGATTAATACGAGCGGAGAGCGACCATCGACTGTTATGACGGCCACACCATCACCATGGCCGGCGCTTGAGTTCTGGTGGCCAACCGAAGGTGCACTTTTTCAGTTGACCTCTTTGGCAAGTAAACACGATAATTTTGTTTGTTTACAAACTGCTTGACAACGAATGTTTTCTCATCGGAAACGGAGAAAACCAAATTTGGCAGTTCACCACATTCGGCGATGGCTTTACCCCGAGCTCATTTTTCAATATTTGCCGAATGGTATATTGCGATAGGTTCAGCTCACGAGCCATTTTTTCGGCCACTGCGACGCGGGTTTCGATCAAGTCGCTTCTTTACTTTTCGAATCATTTCAGCTGATGTTGCTGTTTTCTTCCGTCCACTTCCTTGACGTCGGGCTACGCTACCAGTATCACGGTAACGAGTCATGGTGCGAGACACAAAAGATTTATTCACATTTAAATGCTGAAGTGCTCTAACGATAGCCACTTGTGGTTTTCTAGCCAAATATAAAAAAAATCACACTATCAAGCCTGAATTCCATCACGAATAACTTTTTTTCTGGAAAATTCTCACCAAAATGCTTTTGTACGCTTGTGAGCAATATAATGAGCTGTCACTAGAATAATTTTAAAAGCTGTCGGACGAGTGGCTTAGAAATGAAAGTAGTCTGAATTTGGTTGATTTGGTATCCAAATCTAAACCAACTAAATATAACAGAGGTATTTCTATACTGTAAATGATAGCTGGGACCAAATATCGTTGATATGGAGACGATTTTAGGGGTGTAAGGAACTTAAATAAAAAATCGGATGAAACATATATATGGAACCTATAGCTATATCTAAACCGATTTTCACAAAAGTAGATACACTTTCGTCCAGGCTGAATTCGTTCTTATGTGCCAAAGTCCATTCAATTCGGACCTATATTAACCATTTGCTCCACAATAAACTTGAAATCGAGAAAAGATATTTAGGGGAGCTATATCCAAATCTGAACCAATCTCGATAAAATTTGATAACCGTATTTATGAGCTAATTTGATATATTTTCCCGAATATCGTTGTTACAGAGTACATATTACGTCTGTGTAGGACAAAAATAACAAATCAACTCGGAATATGACTCTATTGTGGTGAAGGATATAAAAAGAAATAATGGAATGATTCATAAATAAATGATAATTTAAACAGCTGATTTAACGACTTGCATACTTCCTCAAACCTTTATATTTAAAACTCTTATAAGATTAAACAAAGTCGATGAAATAAGCCATTGTATAGTATTACATTTGCCAATAATGTTTGCTTTAAGATCAATTGCAATTTTTGTGCTTTTGTTCTCCTTGTTGGGTGTACATGGCCAGAGTTGCATGCGAAGATGTACCGGAGCATATAGGCCGGCCTGTGGTTCCCTCAGGATGGCTGATGGACGTGTCATGACATGCACTTTCAAAAATTTCTGTCATTTAAATAATCACAGATGCCACACCGGACAAAATGAGTAAACATTTTTTTAATCAAAAGTCAAATGTTTTTTAATTTTACATTTTTACAGGGTGGACTAGTCGACCTATAGCGTGTGACACTAATAGTGGCGATTGCTAATTGTAATTAAACAATAGAGAATGTACGAAAACATATGAGTAGTCTTGCAAATTTTTTTAATATATTACTACAAAACATTTGTTTATCGAAAAAGACAACTAAAATATATGTATACAATTCCGATTCCAAACATCGTTTTTCACTACATACCTGATACTTCTGATCTGATGAACCATTTATCTTGCTAGTTTCTGTTTGGTTGGAAGGCACACTATGCTCGTTTAAGGAAGTACATCTGCGTCGGCAAACTCTTCTGTTTTTTTTTTTTTTTTTTTTTTTTTTTTTTGAATCGGGTTTTGAAGTGTACGTGTACGGTCTTGTAAATGTACGTTTTTAGGAGTATTAAAATTTTTCTAGCTTACTAGTAATGTAAATGGTATGTGGTTGTCGTTACTAGTAATGCTAGTAGTGTTGGACGGTGTACATGGAATAATGGTCTGCACCGGATGGCTGTTTTTACTACCTTAGATAACCCTGCTTTTCTCATTTATTACAAAAACATGTTAAATTATCTGTGAACATTCTTGGCAGAGACATCAATACATATAAAGAAGTAAACAAAGGCTATAGTGGTGCGGGGCCGACCATGTGATACCCCTCAACACCACAATATGTTAGAAGATTTCGCATTTGAAATTATGTCACGGAATACTGCCCAGATATTACGCTTAGCATTTTGGCCAGGGAAATTTACGCGCCATCCAATGGTCATCCAAAATGCTAGAACTCTTCCCTGTTCTTAATGTTCTTCTCAGGCGTGTCGATTGGCTTCAATTGTGTGATGAGGATTTTTTTTGGGTCATTTGAACCCCTAAATATTTTGTGATCATCTCCAAAAGCAAGAGGTCCCTCCGTATCTCTAAATTTAGACTCATCTATTTGATTTGTTTGTCTATGATATTTGGTTATACTCGTCAACGAAATCAGCATAAAAAAAGCCAGAGGTTCGCCTGTAAGTTATTTTCAGCGTTTCGGTAGAATGGAAATGTTGGTATTTTTCACGCAAAAGTAGTGGTCCATTCTACATATTGTCCTAAACTCTAACTTCATGCGAGAGTTCGTGTCCATTTGTAATTGTTACCTTTATAACGGCTGCAAAATCAGGAATATTTTTAGTTGTTGGTAGACGTAATATGTATATCCACTTAAACCCCTAAATATATTGCGAATATCTTTGAAGACAATAGGACTAGCCCTTCTGATCCTAACCCTACCTTTGTGAAAATTTTCGTGAGGATCGGACGACAATTGCAATCTGTATATAATAACCCCAACCTGTGTTATAAGTAGGAAAAAAATTAGAAACAAGTAAAAAAGCTGGTACAAATTCCACCATCTGGTACAAATTTTTGCAATTTTCCAAAAAAAAAAAAAAAAAAAAAAAAAAAAAAAAATATATATATATATATATATATATATTACAATAAAATAAAATCCGTTAAAAATTCTGTTAAAATCTTAAAAATACCGAATGCCTATACGACGACGTGGACCTGCATAGGCAACTTTTGCCCTAAGTTTTTACAATATTTAATTGCGAAACTTGAAGAAAAATCTGTTTATAATGTAGCTGTAATCATCAAAATACCGAATATAGGGGGTACCGTTATATAGGGGCTATACGAAGACGTGGACCTGCACAGACAACTTTCTGGCATGAGCTGAAGTATTCATTTCGAACTTCACATGCGAAATTTCAAACAATTCCGGTAAATAATGTTGCTAAAATCATCAAAATATCGAATATCGGGGGGTACGGTATATGGGGGCTATACGAAGATGTGGACCTACATACCCCATGTTCTGTTTTATGCTGCAGTATCTAGCACGAACTTCGAATACCAAATTGGAACGATTAGCGACATTATTTAACGGAATAATGTCGCTAAAATCATCAAAATACCGAATATCGGGAGGTACCGTTATATGGGGGCTTTGTAAAGACGTGGACCTACATGGCTAATTTTTTGACTTAGGATGTAGTATCCATTACGAATACCAAATTTGAAACGATTCCGGTAAATAATGTCGCTAATATCATCAAAATACCGAATAGCGGGAGGTACCGATATTTGGGGCTATATGATAACTTGGACCTACATGGCCCATTTACGAACTTAACCTGCCTACTAGCAAAATATACATGTGTGCAAAATTTTAGCCTAATATCTCAATTTGTTCGAAAGATAGCGTGATTACAACAGACAGACACACATACAGACAGACGGGCATGGCTAAATCGTCTTAGAATTTTACGCTGATCAAGAATATATATACTTTGTTGGGTCTAACATGAGTATTTCGAGGAGTTACAAACGGAATAACAAAATTATTATACCCTCCATAGTATGGTGGAGGGTATAAAAATATTACAAAATGTACACTTCAATATTATAAGTCAAATTGGAGAAATCGCATGCGATAAAAATAATGAAAAAACAATGTCTCAAAATTCTACATAACCTATATTAATATCATTATTTGCATCTTTTTGTGCGATTTTTTAGATGTTATACTTTTATGCCAAGAGGGCATTCTGAATTTGTCAAAATCGGCCCAGCCATTCTAAGCATTGTAGCTAACATCCCCTTCCTTTGTATATATACATTGTATATATTTCGCTATATATATCCGATACATCTACTATCGACATCTACGTAACGGTCAGAATTGACCTGTTCGTTTATTTGTGATTTCGACGGGATTAAAAATATTCGCGATTTAATGGAAAATTTGACTTTTATTTAACACAAATGTTATGGTCTATTTTACCCGCTAAATATTAACCGATGACCATCAAAATTGGAAGGCTTCTGCTTCTGCCCTAAGCTCCAGCCCCATGCTAACTTTGGCGTCGATTGGTCTATAATTGCGACCTGTAGATCAACTGCAATTTTTTTCTTCAAAAGCAATAGGCTTCTATTCTGGCCCTAGCCCCACCTCCATTCTAAATTTCGTGAAGATCGGGCCATAATTGCGACCTGTAGAGTGATTACAAACTAACATGGACAGACGGACAGACGGACGGACATACATAGCTAGATCGACTCAGCTCGGAGAGATAGGAAGATCCATATATACTGTCCTATGTGGGAAATCAATATTTCGAGGTAAATAATAAATAAACACTCATTTAAACAGGTGTTTCTACTACTTCCCGAAGTGAACTCTGCTTAAAACCCTTCCCTTAAGAACATTCTTATAAAATGTCCCAAGCGTGTGCTACTTAAGTCACAGTGTAATATTGTAGCTACCGATCATGATTGCTTCATCGCCAATTGTCATTTTTTTCCTTCTGTTCTCGTTGTTGATGGGTGTACAAGGACAAAATTGCATACGAAGATGTACCAGTGTATATAGGCCAGTTTGTGGTTCCCTGAGGTTGCGAGGCGGAAGAGTTAAAACTTGTACTTTTGAAAATATTTGTCTTTTAAACAATCACATATGCCGAACTAGACAAAGTAAATAGAGTGATATTTTTATTAAACTATAATTAATACGTATAAATTTGTATTTTTTATAGGATGGACTAATAGACCAGGGGCGTGTCGCACAAACAGTCGCGATTGTTAAATGGAAACAAACGCTAAATAAAATTTAAAAAAATATATAAAGTCCACAATTATATTGTTAATAAAAATCTGCAGATTATCTCTAAAATTCTAAAAACAATTTTTATTTATTTATTATTATTATTTTTTTTTACCTAACCCACAAAATGTTAAAATTTTCAAAAAATATATTTTCTGAATATAAAGAGAAACGATAATCCGATTTTGCTCCAACTTTGAAAATCCTAATATTGGCGTCAGTGCAATAGCAGGTGCAAAAATGGACAATATCGGTCCACTCCATCAAGTACCTCCCCCACAAAGGGTCAAAATTTTTGAATAATTACAACTTTTATAAATTGTGATGTAAGAGTCCGATTGTCACACATCCCAATATTTTTATTAACCCAAGGTGTGGTGTTAAGATGGAATACATTGGTCCACTCCTTTTAGTACCTAGACTATTTTTATACCCTCCACCATACTATGGAGGGTATATTAATTTTGTCATTCCGTTTGTAACTCCTCGAAATACTCATGTCAGACCCAACAAAGTATATATATTCTTGATCAGCGTAAAATTCTAAGACGATTTAGCCATGTCTGTCTGTCTGTCTGTGTGTCTGTCTGTCTGTCTGTCCGTCTGTCTGTTGTAATCACGCTATCTTTCGAACAAATTGAGATAGAAGGCTAAAATTTTGCACACATGTATATTTTGCCAGTAGGCAGGTTAAGTTCGTAAATGGGCCATGTAGGTCCAAGTTATCATATAGCCCCCATATTACGGTACCCCCCGATATTCGGTATTTTGATGATTTTAGCGACATTATTTACTGGAATCGTTTCAAATTTGATATTTGAAGTTCGTAATGGATACAACATCCTAAGTCAAAAAATTAGCCATGTAGGTCCACGTCTTTATATAGCCCCCATATAACGGTACCTCCCGATATTCGGTATTTTGATGATTTTAGCGACATTATTTAACGGAGTCGTTCCAAATTTGGTATTTGAAGTTCGTACTAGATACTTCAGCATAAAACAGAAAATGGCATGTAGGTCCACGACTTCGTATAGCCCCCATATAACGGTACCCCCGATATTCGGTATTTTGATGATTTTAGCGACATTATTTATCGGAATCGTTTCAAATGTGGTATTTGAAGTTCGTAATGGATACTACATCCTAAATCAAAAAATGAGCCATGAAGGTCCACGTCTTCATATAGCCCCCATATAACGGTACCCCCCGATATTCGGTATTTTGATGATTTTAGCGACATTATTTACAGGGATTGTTTCAAATTTCGCATGTTAAGTTCGTAATGGCCATGCCAGAAAAGTGTCTGTGCAGGTCCACGTCTTCGTATAGCCCCCATATAACGGTACCCCCCATATTCGGTATTTTGACGATTTTAGCTACATTATAAACAGATTTTTCTTCAAGTTTCGCATTTAAATATTGTAATAATTTATGACAAAAGTTGCCTATGCAGGACTGCGTCGTCTTATAAGCATTCGGTATTTTTAAGATTTTAACAGAATTTTTAACGGGTTTTATTTTTTGGAAATTGCCAAATTTGTACCAAATGGTGGAGTGTATTAAAAGTTCCGCCCGTCCGAACTTACAGCTTTTTTACTTGTTTTTTTTTTTTTTTTTTGCAAATATGAAATTTAGTCCATCTTTGAATCTTTGTCTGATAGAAATATAACGATATACCAATTTTGGAGCATATGGAATACATTCTTTTCCTCCATCCATCTAACCTTACCAAAAGATGGGCATACGAACGGACACGAAATTTCCTGCAACATATTACTCCTTTATTTCGATGAGAAGACACAATTTGCCCATATCAATAATACGGCTTTGGGTACATAAATTATTATAAATTCCAGAAATGACGTTGGCCCTAGATTCAAAAGAATTTTGAAACTTGATAAATTATTGAAATTAAAACACAAACGTTTAGTTTAAGTAAACGTATTTACTTCATTAATAATTTGTTTTTTTTTTTAATATTATATCATTAATATTTCGATCTTTGGCATTCAGCCCCTTATAGCACCACAATTAACTTCTGTATGACAGGCACCTGGTTGACTTTTCCAATCTAAAAAAAAATAATTTTCTCATATCAAAATTTTTCTATCGATATCATAAATCCCTTTATTATCTTACTCTCTCCACTCTTGCACTTATGAACGCCCAGCTTACAGCTATTACCAAAAGTGCATCTTTTAAAATTAACAGCTCCCGGGATCGCTACAGAACCGCAGACAGGTTGTTGCACTTGAATGCAAGCCGTATTGCATCTCCTAGCCTCAACGGCAACTTGACACAAAATTAAAGTGGAAATAATTATTGCAACTAGCGTTGACGACTGCATTTTGACAACTGAAGTAATAAATTCATTCGATTTTGTTTCAAATATTGAATATGAAAAAAAGGGTTGCTAAATCGTTCAAATTTTTCAAAACGAAAACAACAAACCACAATTGCGATAAAGAAATGTATTACGAAAGCAAATTTTTTTTCAATATTAGAAGTTCTGATAATTTTGCTAATGCATGTGCCGATTGTGTTTGATTTATACTGAAAAAAAAAATATTTTTTTACAATCTACAAAACAATGTGAAAATACTCTAAGGAGTAAATTTTGTTAATTTAGTAACTTTGGCACACATACAGGGTATGATAAGAAAACTTCAACAAAGTCAAACGGCATATTTACATTTTTTACGGTCGATTAATACGATCGGAGAGCGACAAACGGCTATTATGGCAGCCCACACCATCACCATGGCCAGCGCATAAGTTCTTGTGGCCAACCGAAGGTGCACATTTCTTTGGCAAGTAAATACGATAATTTTGTTTGTTTACAAATTGCTGGACAACAAATGTTTTCTCCTCGGAAAAAATCAAATTCGGCAGTTCACCACTTTCTCTCTCTTTTCCTCTTTTGAGTCTTGTATTTTTGGAATTTCAATGGCTTTACCCCGAGCTCATTTTTCAATATTTGCCGAATGGAAAATTGCGATATGTTCAAGTCGCTTATTTACTTTTGGAACCATTTCTGCGGATGTTGCTGTTTAATTTAGTTTATCTACACTACACAAAATCAAAGACTATCACCCTAAATTTAAAATTTCTTTCTCCATTCCAACCAAAATACCAAAGTTTAGTACTTTTCATCTCCCGCCAGGTATCAAACAAACCGCAAAAAGGTGGTCCTAGTGGTCCAACTCAATCCTTTACCAAAAATTCCAAATTAAGTACTTTTTAGTACGTATTTCCAAAATCACCTCCAAATCTCAACACTACACACTAACAGTGTTCCTAATGCCAAATTTCAGATTTCAAGCAGTATCTGATCACGCAATAACCAAATTTAATACCATTTTGTACTTTATCTTAATCCTACCCACCAGCAGAGACCCCCAATACCAAATTTTTAAATATCCAGATTAATCCGTCCAACCAAAACCAAATTTTACCGAATTTGGTACCAATTATAGTACACATTTCCAAAAACACTTTCTTATGACAACTCTACTTCCGAAACTAAATTTTTATACGAAATGTTAAGATTTCAGCTGCATCTCTTCACAAAATAGCAAAAGATACGAAATTTAGTGCTTTTTAATGCAATTCTAGTTCGAATTTCCAAGACCCCAGCTTTATCTCACCCCTACCCACCATCATTGAGCCACATGCAAAATTTCAAAATTCTAGCTTTAGCCTGGGCGTTGATGAATCAGAGAAAAAATCCAACTGTCACTTCCCGGTCGTCTAATTTCGTGTTTGGGAGACCAGAAATTTCCGTCTACTTTGTTTGTTCGTTCGAATTTTTTGAAGTCGATGTTTTACGAAAACGAGAAAATGACGACTCTAACTTTAAAAGAGCAAATTGGAAGGTGCATTAATGAAATACCACAGCCTTCATGCAAAGAGGTCATTGAAGATCGCTTGTAAAGCTGTTGGCATTCTATCTGCACGAAATTATGTTCCATACAGGGTGAGATAACAAAATTACAACAAAGCCAAACGCCATAATTTTAGCATTTTTTTTTAAATGTTATTTAATGAAAGCAAAAAATGTCGGAAATAGCATCAAATTTTAGAATAAGTTTAGATTTGTTCGAATTGGTCACCTTTTGGAACGAATTATGGTCTTCAAACGGCCAATGAAACGGACACACGCTGCCCGAATGTTGCTCTGCGGTATTTTGGCTCATTCCCGGCGAAGCGCTTGCTTGAGGTGATCGACACTTTGGTATTTTTTTAGTTCCAACCTTATTTTCCAAAATACTCCAGACATAATAGTCCAACGGATTGGTATCCGGAGATTTCGGTGGCCATTGTGCGCTGGAAATGAAGCGAGGAACCTCATTTTGTAACCATTCTTGGTTGTAACCATTCTTGGCGCGTGCTGACTGCGATGGTGCTGAGTCCTGTTGGAATGTCTAAGGTCTGCGGCTAAAATGTTTGCTTTAATACACCCTCCAGAATATTTTCCCGATAATATTCAGCATTTATTCTGATGCCACGGTCGATTTATACGAGCGGAGAGCGACCATCGGCTGTTATGACAGCCCACACCATCACCATGGCCGGCGCTTGAGTTCTGGTGGCCAACCTTAGGTGCACATTTTCAGCTGACCTCTTTGGCAAGTAAACTCGATCATTTTTTTTGTTTACAAACTGCTGAACAACGAATGTTTTCTCATCGGAGAAAACCAAATTCGGCAGTTCACCACTTTCGGCCAAGAGAATCAACTCTTTAGCTCTTTTTACTCTATTTTCTTTCTGTTGCAGTGTAAGTCCTTGCAGTTTTTAAATGTCAATGTTCAGCTCACGAGCCTTTTTTCGGACACTGCGCCGCGGGTTTCGATCAAGTCGCTTCTTTACTTTTCGAACCATTTTTGCTGATGTTGCTGTTTTCTTCCGTCCACTCCCTTGAGATCGGGATACGCTACCAGTATCACGGCAACGAGCGTTGGTACGATACACAAAAGATTTATTCACATTTAAATGCTGGAGTGCTCCAACTATAGCCACTTATGGGTTTCCAGCCAAATATAAAGAAATCTCACTATCACGCTTGAATTCCATCACGAATAACTTTTTTTCTGCAAAATTCTCACCAAAATGCTTTTGTACGCTTGTAAACAATATAATGAGCTGTCACTGGAATAGTTTTAACAGCTGTCGAACGAGTGGCTTAGAAATGACAGCAGTCTGAAGTTGGTTGAAGTTTTTTTATCTCAGCCTGTACATAACCTCATTTTGTCTACTTTACAATAGAATAAAACTTCAGGATTTTTTGTAAATATCTGTTTTCTATTTTAAATTTAAAAATTGCCTTCTGGCTGGGACACTATTTACATTTCGCCTTATCCAGCTGCAATATTGGCGCCTTATCCAGCTGCAACAAATTGGCACCCGGTACACTTATCCACTCTAAAAAATAAAACAAAACATCAATATTTTTTAAATTCAAATTCCAAACTTACAAACTTACTCTCGCCTTTTTGACATTTTCTCAAATCTAAGTAGCAACTATTTCCGAAAGTACATCTCCTGTATTCATGTTTTCCTCTTCCTGCAAACACACCACACACTGGTTGGAAATCCTGTAGACACATAATTTTACATTTCTTGGCTTCGGAAGGAGTAGCTATGTAACAAAGCGCTACCAGAGCCATACAAATAGCAACAGATGTTGTGTAGCGCATTTTACGGAATAAAATGATTTAAAGTGGCGTTTACAGTTAAATATCTTCCCCGATTTTATGTACAATAAATAATTAAAAGCTATTGTTTATAGTTGAATGTGAAATCGCAAAGAGTCTATATTATTTTGGAAAATCCTCGATAGAATGATGAAAGCTTAAAAGGAATATAAACAATACTAAACACAGAACTAAAGTGGTATAACTGACTCAGACGAAAAGGCTAAAGCTAGAATCTTGAAAATTTTTCACGAGGGCCAGTCTTGGTGCTGGGTTTTTGGACTTTCGTACTAAAATGGAGATGTAATAAAACTTTAATACTAACTATTGGACAAACGAAATGAGCCAGAATTCTGCAATTCGGAATGAGAGTCACTGATGAAGTGCAGAATAGATATACTGAAACGCTTTTGGAAATATAAACTTTAAGGTTACGAAAAGTTCTAAAATGGTACTAAACTTCCGAAATGGTACCGTTGGGTATAATGTGAACGGGTGGAGCGAAAACTTCTTGTACGAGAATCACTGTTGGAAAGTAAATTTTATATATGAAGATAATTTTGAAAATATGCACTAAGTATGCGAACTGTGCTAAATGGTAAGGTAAAAAAATACAGGGTAAGATAAAAAACTGCTACAAAGTCAGTTTTAATTTTTTTGAATGAAAGCGAAAAATGTCGGAAATAGCATAAAATTGAGGTCGGGATACGCTACTGGTAGCAACGAGCGTTGGTAAGAGACACAAAAGATTTATTCACATTTAAATGCTGGAGTGCTCTAACGATAGCCACAATGGCCACCAAAATCTCCGGATACCAATCCGTTGGACTATTGTGTCTGGAGTATTTTGGAAAGCAATGTTGGCACTAAAAAAATACCAAAGTGTCGATCATCTCAAGCAAGCGCTTTGCCGAGAATGGGCCAAAATACCGCAGAGCAACTTTCGGGCAGCGTGTAACGGTTTCATTGGCCGTTTGAATGCCTTATCTTAACTTATTCTAAAATTTGATGGTATTTCCGAAATTTTTTGCTTTCATTCAATAAAATTTAAAAAAAAATAAAGAAGTGAATATTTATTATTTATATTGTTTAGTTTATTTTGTTTAATTTATTCAAATTTTGTTATATTTTTTATCGCATGCGATTTTTATACCCTACACCACATAGTTGTAAGGGTATTATGTCTTTGTGCATTTGTTTGTAACAGGCAAAAGGAAACGAGATAGACCCATAGTTCCTTTTGATAATCTGCATAGAATCACATTCTGAGTCGATTTATGCATGTCCGTCCGTCCGTCCGTGTGTCCGTCCATGTATTTTTGTAAACAAAGTACAGTTCGCATTTATTGCCCTATCCAGATGAAAATTTGCACAGATCATTTGCTTGGCCCAAGGACGAACCCTATTGAAATTTGAGATAATCGCTCAAAATTTAGATATAGCTCCCACATATATCTTCGTCCGATATTTGGGGAAATATATAAAATACAGCTCAGAAATACATTTGCTAAATTTTATCGAGATCGGTTCAGATTTGGATATAGCTCCCATATATAACTTCGTCCGATTTACCTTTGATTGTGCACCAAGCGTCTAATATTTGCCCAAATTGGATAAAATTTGGCACTTACGACCGAATTGAGTCTAGAAGCCAGTATGTCAAATTTGGTGAAGATCGGTTCAGATATAGCTGTAGCTCCCATATATACTGTTCATCCGATTTGTCATATTTGTTACCCATAGCCGTAATATGCACTTCGTAATAACGATATTCAGGGAAATATATCAAATACAGCTCAAAAATATCTTTGCCAAATTTTATCGAGATCGGTTCCGATTTGGATAT